AGGACTCCGGCGACACATCCGACAGCGAGACCGACTCAGACCACAGCCATAGCGAACCTGAAGGGCAAGATGACGACGCGGTCAATCTTGCGACTGCGCTCATCACCGACGATGTTGGGTATAACCCCATCTGCGGCAACCTGGTCGTCATCAAGCACAAGCTTATCGATGATCTTCCGGCTCGTCTCATGGATGCAGAGTTGCTGGATGTCCTTACCGAGGACTTCCCGCTTCTTTGGGGCTTAGTGCTCAGGTGACCCTTTTATTAGACTAATTACGAAGCTGATTTGGAATAGATCCATTGTGGGCGATTGGGAGGAAGCGTCGAAGCCATTCCTTCCATCGCCCTTTGTTTTTCACCGACAAACTGTCTCATGGGAGTTGCTTCGTCGTCTGGGCTATCGCTCGCGCTTGGAACGCTTGATTGAAGCGGATGGGCTCGAAGCGGTCGCAGCACGGAATGGTTGGGAATGGAGAGTAGTCGACAATGTGGATCTGTTCAACAATTAATCATTTCTTTTGCGTCACACCACATTTTCACAGTAATTCATTGGATATCTTCGCGTACAGGTAATTCCTCCACGGCATGGATTGCTGCCCCACCCGGCATTCGACCACGCGACAAAAAAACGGTCATCTCTGGATTCTGCCCCTCGCCGTCGGGTTCAGTGGTCGGGGTATACAATCGGCACACGAAACGACACTTGAGGATGACGTGCTGAGACATAATCAGGCGACAAGTGGTGGTGTTGCGAGACAGACCTACCATAGACAGTATTGTTGGCTCGTCGTGAATGACATTGTCGAGTTGGAGGAGGTGCGCCACACAGTACACCGCTGCGCCGCGCTCCAATGGCTTCACCGGAAGAATTTGCGGCTGCGAGGCCCATGGGTTGTCGTGCTGCCACGCGTGAGTAGTCTGTCGAGTGATTTTCAAGTTATGCAAGCGTGGAGATATCAAGGACTCACAAGACGAGTTTTGCTGGTGATGTGCACAAATATAAGCCCGCTGTCGCTCGCATTGCGGGGACGACATATCCAGCTATTGAGGCTTTTGCTGGTGGCGTTGTGTGTCATTCTGTCCTCGAGCCTACCGAGTGCCGATATTAACTCTTTGAAGTCTCGCTGCAGGGTGCTACCCTTCAGTGCTCCAAGAACCAGATACTGTAGACATCCAGTTAGGTAGAACTGTAGCAAATCATAGCCTACACACCCTTTGATCACGCTCGTCCACGATAGCGATAATACGCCCCGCAAGACCGATTTGCCAATGCTTCGCAGTTAGAGGATTGACTAACGACTGCAAACGCCCAGTGGGCAACTCGCAGTCAGCGGCTAGAGTCTTCAGTTGCAGGACGTCATCTCCAGTTGGCGGCGCAGAGAACAAACGGGTGAGAAAGGCTGGGTGGCGGGCAGGGGACATGGATGGGGGTGTGGTGCGAAGACAAGAGTGTTTTGATGATAGGCGTGATCTTGTCGGTGTCGCATATAATTCGCCCTATGATCTGGAGGGAAAGCATTAGGGCTCGTATGGGTCAACTTACAGATCGGTCACAAATAGCAGTGCCTTGAAATTTTGCTTGCTACGCAAATTGTAGATAATACAGTCGGTAAATGCGACGCGCCAGAGAAATGAGATGCCGTTGGTAGACAGTGTGCTCGCAGGTCCCTGGTGTATAGATTCCTTCCGCCTCTTGCATCTGCACCCAGTCTTGGTTCAAGAGCTGTCGGATTTCAGCGCGCGAAGCGTCGAGAAGTTGCTTTTTGCCAGGTCCATGGAATTGTTGGTGTAGCAATGCCTCGCGAGCCCGTTCTTTTCGCAGGAGGAAGCCATCGACGAGGCAGGATAACCACTCCTGGTAGTCGGAGTCCTCCGGCTCACAGTCCGTGTCCCGCAAATCGAAAGGCGGAGGCGACAGCCAATGAGTAAAGTCTTCCTGTCCAGCGTCTCCGCCATTCAGTGCTGTTTGGAAGACATCGTAGTTCTCTTGCAAGGAGACGTTGGCCCAGACCTCTACCAGATCTGGTATCGAGATGCGGGAGATATGAACTTTGGCCACTTTGCGCTTGCCTCGAAGTCGTTCACGGCGCACTTGTTGCCCCCTGCAGGCGGTGTCAGGCAATCTGCAGTTCGATGTCTGTGTGGTATATACCGTTGACTGTGGTCGTATCGAAGGCTGCTATGGCGGCGAGCTGCCGAACGTTCTTCATCCGTGGTGTATTTGCGACGCGGAGTCATGACAAGAAGGTCGAAAGCACAGTTATAAGTGTCATGTCACGTCCACAAACCTTCCGACATTTTACTCACTCAAACCTTGAGATGTCTTTTTCCCCCCAAGGACGCGGCAAATCTGGACTCAGGCAACCCATTTAAGTCTTAGGCATGTGAGAAACTCTTGTATGGAACCAAACTGGAGGGGGAATGACCTGTTTTTCCATGACTCGACGAGGTCTCAAAATCTCGTTTCGCTTTTTCATTCGATGACAGTGCCGGGCATTCCAATAGACTCTAGATCGCAAGGATTCACCACAATCGCACAAAGGACAGGCTTGTAGGAGGGCTATCTGTGCGTCACGACCGTTTCCGGGAGACCGGAGCGACCTCCGGACCGCGTTTCCCCGGCCTCACATCACTGACATCAGCATTCGCTTGTCTCTCCCCAGCTTCAGCTTCAGCGCCGCACTCCAACGCTGATTCGGTGCGTCGTCTTTACACGGCGTCTAACTCTATAGCTAATATGACATTCAGAGGAGTGTTTGGGATGATTTAGGATCGGCAATTGACTTCTTTTAGGATAGGACTACTAAGGATTGACAATTGACTACTCGAAGCTACAAGACCGGATTTTCTGGACGACGAGGGAATGTAAAGCGGGCAAACGAGTAAGTAACACGACTGCGATCCTGCCATTCCGGATATTCACGATGAATCTCTTCATCCAGGGCGTAGTCTCAGCGTGGGTCGTCGTACATCGGCTTTCCACACTCAGGGCAGTCCCAGTTATGCTCGAGATGCATGAATGTGCAAACGTAGCAGGCGCTATGTTTGCAGTTCGGAAACCTTGAAAATGTCAGACCCATCACGATACCCAGTGGTATGTCGTACCAGACAGGCTGAGATTTAACCATTTGGCAGCAGGGACACTTGAATATAGGCCGGACGTCGGGCAATAGTGGGGGGCGCGCTTGCGAGGAATACAGGCTTTCTCGAGTCGGGAAACCATCCGGGAAGTCGCGTTGTCCGACAAGCTCCTCAGGCGTGGGTCGCCGCCAGCCAGAGGGATGTTCTTTGCCTTTGGCGACCTTGTCGAGTTTGTATGCAAGAGCATACAAGTCGGCTGCTGCAGCCCGGTCGATGAGCGAGTGTGATTCCTGCAGAGCAGCTTGCAACTCACCATCAGGCTTTGCGTCCTGGGCAACTACGTTAGTACCCTGCCTGTGCAGCGTGGATTCATGACTTACGCATTTTGACCGTATAGGCGTCTAGCGTCGCCTGCTTGTTTTTCGCTGGCCGCTCAGACTGGCGAGAACGTTTCTCGGGACCTGTTCGAGCAACGGGTCAAAGACTCAAAAATATCAAAGCCAAGATAACGCGCGCACCTTTTCGCTCGACAATTTCTATCTCATCGTCCGACTCGCATGCCCTTTTGGGCGCTAAATATTCATGGGCGCTGTCAGTGAGTCGTACTCGTTCAGAGATTGGACAACTGACCACGAGCTATGAGCTGGTCAATGTGCTCTTCTGTGAAAGGCTTCTCGAGGGTCCCTTTGGATGGCGATAGAAACGGAGTGGACATGGGACGAAACAACAGAGCAACCAATCACTCGGCTCTTTAAAAGTCCATGCGCTTAACTCGCCTGCGATTCGTGTGTGACTAGCCCAGCCCCTCTTGTTCAAGTCCTGCATCATGGACCGTTCGTCTGAGATATCTCCGTATTCCCATGACACTAATCTCTCTACAACAGGACCACCTCCCCTTATTCCGCCCTCGAAAAACACTGTGCCAACCAAACGGCGCCCCTTGCAAACTAAACCAATCGTCATTCTGGACAAGGAGGGTGTGGAGATGGGATGGACGTTGTATGTGCCCCGACTAGCCCGACCCGTAGTTCGCACAAAACTGTAGATCTTTTGAAAATCCGCCTGATCGCGCAGATGTAGACATGGTCGGCGCGTTCTGGCAAGCGCAAGCACTTAAATGAAAACACTTGACGATTCACCTAATACCCCACTCATGAGCTCAAACGACAACCACGAAGATACCTCCCGCCAAACAGGTGCGCTCAGAAGGAACAAACACCCTCCGGAGAGCACTTTATTCATGTTGATTAGATATCGGACTGGCGCGCGGGGAGCAACTCCGTAATACTGATTACACGGAATTCCGTCTTCTTGGCAATCACAGTCTCTTCGCTGTATCGTACGACATCTGCTGCCAGTGGAGGCCCTCGCCAGCGCCAGAAGGGTAATTGCCATTGTACTTCTATGCTCCGGACTCACAAATACCCAGCTCCAAGGAAGAGAGACGACCTTTGGAGCAAGCGGAGCAAGCAGAGCTGGTGGCGCTGGCGGAAAGGGTTAATAATGACGCTGGGGAAGCAATGGCGACGGCAGGGGATACCGGTGTCCACGCATGAAGTTGTTAGGCTGAATGATTGACCTGATTGATTCATTGATGCCACGAGACACGTGTGGCTGCTTGGCACCCTCTCGTTTTGCTCTCACAACTGGTGGCTGGTGCGGGTCACCAACGACGCCTTTTTCCGCTGGCGGCTGATAGGGTTCGCTTGTGAGTCTGCTCCTTCCCTGACTCCTTCAATTTGGCTGACGCATGCCATGGGGCGCAAAAAGAAAAACACCTCCACGTTCTTCTACCACGACGAAGGGCCTACCCCGTCAGCGGATATCAGTTATCATCTGGCTCCCGAGTCGACCCTCGTCACCGTTTCGAATCTCGCGGCCCAGAAGCGTGCCCGCCTTGAAGATGTTGCCTTGCGACATGGACGACTATGCCCATTTTCTTCCCGAAGAGCCGCTTGCTGCAGAGGAGCTTACTGCTGTGGCCAACACGATCACCACGTCGGAGGAGCTGGAGGGACAGATAGTCCACGAGCACATTATTGGAGAGGATGAGGTAACTGGCCACAAGAGGGCGCGATATGAGAGCTCGGTAAGCCCTTGCAGTCGCCTTCCTACGAAGCTTATTGACCCTTTGTCGTCGTCGCTCAGGACGAACCCATGAAGGTCTGGCGTCGGGTTTCACATATATTCCTCGACAATCTACTTCGGCATGACGGTCTTGGACCAGACCTTCCTGAACCCGTCTGTTTCTTCTGCCAAACACCCGCGGGCGACTCTCCCTCGACCCGATTCTTCAGGTGTCAAGACTGTGGCTGTTTTTCACAATGCCACTCTTGTTTGACCGAACGACACGCGCTCACCCCCCTGCATGTCATCAAAGTGAGTGAATTTCTTATGCCGCTTTGCTTGTATTCATATAGTGCTAGGAATGGAACGGCAGCTTCTGGGAGGCAGCCGCCTTGCATCGACTTACTCTGAAGGACGAGTCTCCCAGAAGTTTACGAATGTCTTACCAGCTTGGACACACTGCAGGCAATGGAGCATATTCCGCCCTGGAATATGTTGAGAATATTATGAATATTACAGGCTGTATTCATTCCATTTTCTAGGCTGGAATATGACAGGAATATCCGTGGAATATTCTCAATTTTCTCACCATCTGCCAAGTATATGACAGCCCGGAAAATGTTGGGCAGATCCGTAGAATATTCTCAATCTGCCACATGTTTTCATTCAATATTCCGGCCTGGAATATATCACATGTTCCAGCCTGGAATATTGTGATCAGATTCTGAGCCTATCATTGATCGGGATTCTGATTAGGATTCTATATATATACCACTATATAATCACTTATATGCTGGCTAGTGCATATGGTAGATACTCACCTAAAACAAATTAAAGTCACCTCAAGGAAGATTCTCATATTCAGGATTATCGATAAGCATTATCCAACAGTGTTATTTCAACAACACTCTCTAACACAGATGTAGCTGGCCAAAACTTGAAAGGGAAATCTGCCTTGGAGTACAATGATTCTACTATAGCCTTTGAGTTTGGCAACACAGAGCTCGTGCTGACCAGTACCGCCAGAGTAGCTGCCCATGCTTCCCTACGACCAACTTTAAACCTCAGACACAAGCTACTCGATTTGTCATCACGCGCTCCGTCCCCTCCGATTTGCAAACTCGACCTGGAAGCAGCGAACAATGGTGTCGTCTCAGATACACTATAATGTTCACCATCGTAACAAAAACTGTAAAGTAGTTAGCATGAGAAACGAGATGTGATTGCCTAGAAACTTACCCTCGAGACAGCAGCTTTGCGATATGCAGGTCAATATCCAGACAAAGCTCTACCCCCGACTTATATCTCCAAGCGCCTGATTGTCACCAAAAGGTGCCTTGATTACTTTGTCCCCGCATCAACGTCGTCTGAATCAAGGTAAACAAGTGCAGCATTGAGATAGGAGCAGAAAACTTGCCTTGGACACTGGAGATGTTGCGTTTGCAGAAGCGGAACTAACTGTGCTGGACGACCACTGTTCAAAAGATGTCAGTCAACGCATGAAGTCAAAGACAAGTACCAACCGCTGCATTGTTGCTGAGACTGCCCACCAAACGAACAGTACTTCATCGCCAACTTGAATCACTGCCCAGACGTTCAAAACTCCTCCCGCAGGGCGAAAGAACAGCAAGAAACTGTGGAAAAACATCAATATCATGAAGTAAAGCAAAAGCAAGGTACCGACCGTATTTTGAAGGCCAAACGGAAGGCGTTTCGGCCAGTCGGTCCACGGGGCAGGCAAAACTCGTCCGAGACGAGCAGCATGCCGCGGATGAGCAGCCAATACAGCTCGGATACCACTATTGAAGCATGTCAGCCGAGAAATGAAGGTGGAGGAGAGTACTAACCATGCAGCTCTCCAGCAAGACCACATCCCGCCAAGAAACCGCCCACCGAACAATCAGAGGTGCATCGCTGACTCGAATCGATGCCCAGACCGGCGGGAACGCGAGAAACTCTCCTGCGGGGCGAAAGAACAGCAAGAAGCGGTTTAACAACCTTGATATCGTTGTAAACCCGTGCAAAAGCAAGGTACAGACCGAGTTCTCGCAAACGCGAACTGTTGCATGGCCCAGTTGTTTCGCGGGGCAGGCCAAACTTGTTTGGGACTAGCTGGAGCCGCCGATACGGTCAGAACCGCTTGCAAACCAAGAACAGCGTTAAAAAGACGCGCAAGGAGTCGGTGGCTCGGAGGTGCTCGTTGTTGCCCATTCCTAGCTCCAAAGTGCAAGGAGAGCTCAAAATGTGGGGAGTCGTTCGGCGCTGCTTTGAAGCGTGAGTTTCAGCGTGAGTTTGCGCGTTACCTCAGCCAAATTTTACGCACCTTGACTCAGACCCCACTGTCTCCGCCAGTGTTGCCGGTCCCCAACAACATGATGCGCGCACGTCAGCCCACAGCCCTGACCACGCGCCCAGCCCGAGCAAATCGTCGTTTCGGCGGCGCAGTAGTCGTAGTCCTGCGGTTGCCAGAAGCCGTGCCCGTGCTCGTGCCGCGAGATTTCGCAGGCATTGGCACGGGGTTTGGTGTAGAGTGCTGAGCCAGCTGGTGGCGGATGAGCTGGGTGCTGTTGGTGCGCAGCTATACTGATCCAACTCACCTAGTTGGACAGCAGTGGGCGATGAGGAGCAAGCCAGACGTCCGCTTCCCTTGAGCCTGTCAACAATGGTGAGTAAGACTTATCAAAACAGCCTGAGTGCTTGGCAACACCTACTTGACGCGCCAACAACAGGCGCCAAAGGCTCCGCTACCTCTGAACGTCGTGAAAACTCGAGGCGGGCTCGGCAGTGGACAACACCAGCGCAAAGGCTCAGGGTTGTGAGCGTAAGCAACAACGACCGGTGTTTCGGTTCCGTAACCTGACACCCGGCACGTGTTGCTTACCAACTTCTCCCGCCCTCGTCATCGCTCACTTCACTGAGGAGCCCGCTCGCAGCCCAGCTCGGACGACATGGCCGTGTCCCGCATCTGGGCGCTGCGGCGGGACGCATTCCCTCCCTCCAGCAACCGGCAAAGCTCTTCCAAAACGCTTCGCACGTCGCGGCAGCCTTCAAAAACCACGAAATCGACACTGAAAATGGCAAGGTCATCAGCAACGGCGTTATCCTCAACGCACAGAAGACGTACAAGTTGGAAATCACCCACAAGACACGGGGCTGCCAGTGTGCTGCAATGGAGGGTAAGCATTTGTACGGGGGACTGGGGAAAGTACGAGTTTACGGGGATTGTCTATCCGCTCAAGACGATGTCGGTGCGTTGCCACAGCCATTCAAATCTGGAACGGTCTGATTGTCTTTCGTGGTTTCATAGAGTGTCAGCTCATGACCACACTACAACCAGGCGCGAAAAACCACTGTGGGGAAGTGCATGGATATGGACACAATGTGCGTGCCCGCTTGTTTTCTCCATCACGACCACTGACACTGCATCTGGGGGCTGCGCGACTCAGCACCAATCCTCTCTGGCGCGTTCAGTGTCCGCAACTGTCCGCAACGAGACTGTCGCGCTAACATCGGGCTTCGCCACGCCAATGGCTGGACTGGCTGTCGTTCCGCTGAGCAATTGCGGAGTCATTACAGTATGTGTTGCGATCAGGAGTCAGGACTTTGCGGGGTGGATGTGTCGAGCGTGGCCCATGTGCTTGACGACAGCGACGTCACCAGGCCTGATATGGCCATGTACGACCCGCGCAATGCATACCACCAGGTACGGTGTGCGCGAACACAGCGCGAGCGAGCTATCGCGCCGTACCAGCAGGAAAATCAAGAGTTATAGTCTAAATCCCGGATGTAAACGGTCAGATTCGTCAATGCTGGCAACGATACTGACCGCTTCTCGCAGTACACAAATATGCTCGTTGCTGACCTCGCTGTGCCGCTTTTCATTGCCCTCGATGCGCTCGGCACGGACGGCAATGCCCTCGCGTTCTAGATCTAAAGCCTCTTCACCAACTCCAGAACCTCTCGTTAGCAGCACCGCATGGTTCCATTGACTCCATCCAGCTGGCGTGTCCTTCCCTCACACATCTCCGGCTCGTCCTCATGCCCGGCCCGGCCCGACGACATCAGCGCGTTCTCGGTGGGCCTCAGGCGCTCAGCTTCCCAATGCTCATCACGCTTGCCATCATCGTGGACTTTGTGCCCTGGTGCAACCACGACGAGATCGCGCGGGCAGGTCGGGCGGAGGTGGCGGGCGCTGCCAGGAAGCTCGGGATATGGTTGTGGGGTGTGGGTGGGAAGGCGTTAGGTGTATGAATGAATCATTGGCAGCACCGTTGTCAGGAGGCGGGAGCGGGTCTGCGTCAAACGCTGCCAGGCCCAGGCCTCCGGAAACAATGCTATGAGATTGTAGGCTGTAAACCAATAAAATTGGGTCAGGGAGGTCAGCTCTTTGAAGCTGTGTTGAATCTTTGAGGTCATAAATGAAGCGTGGCTCTTTGAGAGCATGAAATAGGCCTTCATCATGCTTAGTCAGAGTCTTCCCAGTCAGACTCTGACAAATCACTCTTCGGGTCACAGCACCAGTCACACTTTCTCCACCCACGACCTCGACATGAGCCGGACGACAAGCTAGGAAGAGAGGATGGCGGATGGGGCAATGCTCAATGGGATCCTGTGTTTGTGCTGCTGCTGTCTGCAACCACCTCAGACAATGAGGTGTGTAATTGTGGGTTTGGAGTGTGGGTGGGGCTGATAAGAGCGCAGATTATCATTGTGTTGAGCATCAAGCTCTGCACTGCCTGCAAAGTCTGCCTCATTGCTCTTGAGACTTCACACCTCCTCAACACTGTACTACAATCCATCAAACTTAGCTGGTCATCCAAACCAGTCTGCTCACATCCGGTGCTATCAGTGGCGAGGTATGCTCTTGAGTCTCTTGGCTTGCTTTTGTTGTTCTGACCCTCACTTGAAGTGTACATTTGGGACTTCCACTCACCTGCAAAGCTGTCAACTCAATGAAATGAGCAGCCTCAGCCGCTACTCGTCACGCACTGCTGCTTGTCACGTGCACTGCTGCTAGTCACGTGCACTGCCGACCTGCACCTCTCTGACAGTGGAGTGGGTGGGCTTGGCACAAGCAAGTCAGGATGCAGGCATTGAGGAGAAGGTGTGTATGGGCAGTAACTACTTGATAGTGAGTTGCACAATCAGCTCTTGATAAGCTAATGTTTATTTGACACTTCCTAGTGTCTGTGTGGCTTTCTTGCTGGTTGTAGAGGGCTTGCCTTAGCATGACCGACAGTCTGGTTGTATATGGACTGGCCTCAGCATGACCGCTCTTGCAAAGCTGGTTGTAGAGGGCTCTTCCACAGCACGACCAACAGTCTGGTTATATCGGGTGACGCCTCAGCACGACCGCTCCCTTGCTGGTTGTAGAGGGCTTTCCCCTAGCATGACCGACAGTCTGGTTGTATATGGACTGGCCTCAGCATGACCGCTCTTGCAAAGCTGGTTGTAGAGGGCTCTTCCACAGCACGACCGACAGTCTGGTTATATCGGGTGACGCCTCAGCACGACCGCTCCCTTGCTGGTCGTAGAGGGCTTTCCCCTAGCATGACCGACAGTCTGGTTGTATATGGACTGGCCTCAGCATGACCGCTCTTGCTGGTTATAGAGGGCTTTTCCACAGCACGACCGGCAGTCTGGTTATATCGGGTGATGCCTCAGCACAACCGCAATTGCCTCAGTACTCGATTATGTGTTGCAGATGGCCTGGTCTATTTAAACTTCTCTAACAAGTTCCTCAGCTTCATATATTTCCTTGTCTGATTCACTTTTTAGCCCTTCACAGTTCTACCAACAATCAAGAGCTTTTCCCTTCAATGGATACTAGGTGCATTTTGATCTTTTGCTTACCTTTCCTCCCCCGCGCCTGCCGGTGTTAACCCAATGGCGTAGCTACCTGCTGGACCCGTTCTCACAAATCGGTTAACGGGATGGATTGGACTACCTCAAGCCCATCTTCATCTTCATCACAACCTTCCCTCTCCCACTAACCCCTCGGCTCTTGTTGCCGTGTCACTACCTGTGACCTGGTAACAGACGTTCTCCACCTGCATACTTTGCTTCCCCCCCTCCCGCTTGCGTTCTTGTCCCCACCAAGCCAGCCTTGCAAGGACGATCGCAAGCAATCACACGCTCGCCCACACTCCTCGCGATCGTTTCAGAGCACCCTCACCCTTTACCTCCTTCCGACTGCCAACCGACTCCCGCTCATGCACCCGCCAGGCAAAGGCGTTCGTGTTTCGGACTGGCTGGCCGGAGCCCGTGGGAAACGCCACGCTGGCATCTTCTCATCTTTCCCACAAACACGACGCGTGTTCTCGCGCAGGTAACGAGGAGATGGGCCAGAAGCGGTAGCAGCCGTCGTGTTTGAGGTGACTGGAGGCCTGAAGCAAGCAAAATGGTTGTCCTCATCGCTGATGCGCCGCCACGCGGGATTGGAGAGTATGGTGATGGTGCGTGTCCCCTCTATCGAGCACAAGTCCAAATTTGACCAGTTGAGCAGGTTTCGATGTCTATACCCACAAGCTCACTCACCCCCCAACACGACACCCAACACGACACCCAATCCTATGCCAGCCAATCCCGCCCCCATTCTAGTGAGCGAAAAAGCGTCAGGCACGACGCCGGCCGTCGCCACACTTTCACTCCCGACCCCATCCAGCCATACAAGCAGCCCTCGACGAAGATGATGAAGAAATGGGTCCTGATGCTGTACCAAACGAGACTGCTCCGCTATTAGGAGCATCTGCCTTGTCTAGGTCCCGGTCCCGGTCGCGGAGACGGTCATCACTATCTAGAGCGAGAAATGGGACAGCTACCGTTGGACAGGCGTATCTAATGGTTTGTGCTTTGTCCTTTTTACGCCTTTTCTCTCTTTAATTTTTTGCCAGCTGCTCAAGGCCTTTGTTGGTACTGGTGTGCTTTTCCTCGGAAAAAGGTGTGTTATTCTCTATCTTGTTCTCCGCGACTTGACCGCTTCAGCTTTTACAACGGCGGGCTGCTCTTCTTCTCTCCTCAGGACTCTTCGTGTTCATTGCTTTCATTTCGCTTATACTCGTTCCTCCTATTGGTCTACACCAAATTCGTTGTCTCTGGCAGTTTTGGAGGTCAGTTTATGCTTTTGTTTGTATGCCCTGCTCCATACCTATCTTTTCACAGACATTGGGGGCACATTGTATGGCCCGTGGATGCGCGACCTCATCCTTGGCTCCATTATAGTCTCGCAAATCGGCTTCGTCACCGCTTACATCATCCTCGTCTCGCAAAACCTCCAAGAACTCGTCATGGGCATCACCCATTGTCTCATGATCAAGCTGATCCCCATCCAGTACTTCATCCTCGCACAACTCGTCATATTCCTGCCAATATTCCGCGACCTTGCCACACTCAGCTCAACAGCGGTGGTGGCTGACGCGTTCATTCTCGTCGGACTGTATATCTTTGGGTCAGAAATTTCGATTATCAGCCAGCGCGGGATTGCGGACGTGAAGATGTTCAACCCGAAGGACTTTTTACTATTCATGGGTGTAGCGGTCTATTCGTTTGAGGGTATTGGCATGGTCATACCAATCACCGATGCGATGCGGGAGCCACACAAGTTTCCCAAGGTACTGACAGGCGTTATGTGCATCGTCTTAGTCCTCTCTGGCGGAGCTGGTGCCCTTGCCTATCTCACTTTCGGCTCAGAAGTCCAGACGGTCGTGCTGGTCAACCTTGACGCGGAGAGCAAGATGGTCCAGTCTGTCCAGTTTATCTACTCGATTGCCATCATGCTCTCCGTGCCCTTGCAACTATTCCCCGCCATCCGGATCATGGAGAACGGGCTGTTTACGAGGAGCGGCAAGGCGGACTTCCGGGTTAACATGCGACAGTGTTCTTCGCGGCAACCTTATTGCCCCGACGCGGCTGGTAAGTCACTGTTAGCAACCAGAATCTCATTTTCAAGTGCGCTCACAGTCAGACCGGCAAGCTCCGCCATCTACTACCAAGGACGACTACTAACTGCGGGTACACAGGCCCGGGGACAACCCACCAATAACTGCGGCAAACGACATCATTGCTCGGCGCAGACGAATATGGCGCCGTTGTGGCCTGCAGCAATCCGCGCGCACATGACAAACAACGGCATTGCTCTTAGCCCTGCCGCGAATGGCGAACTGGGCAGGCATTGGACATGTACAGGCCAATATACCGGTAAGCCCATTATTTTGAGCCCCAAACTCACCTCAACGTATAGTTGCTCGCACTGGCAGGCCGGATCGATCGACGGAAAACCGGGACAAGTCGTGCTGGGGCCGACTTGTGTTGCTGGTCGCGAAACGACGCTCTAGCGTCGAATAAACAGGTTAGTGCACTCCTTTTGAAGCTTAAACCCCACACTCACCAGTTTCGTGCTCAACGCAGGGCGCGACCGGCTTAATCGGCAATTGGTGCAGTTGCAGCCTGAAACCCGGAGGTAAGTGAGTTATTCTGGACCACGAATTCACCTGAATGTATAGTTTCTGGAGAGACAACTCGACGGTCGGCTCCATCGGCGCAACAAGTCGTGCTGGAGGGAGATTCGGCGGGTCGTCACGGCAAACGATGCCATAGCGAGCGTCTAATAAGCGGGTGGGCGAGTTGTCAACGCTCATTTTGGAGCATATACTCACCTTCATGGATAGTTTCTGGCTCTATCGGCGCAAAACTGGGCAAACCAGTGCAGCCATATCACGTTCTACAGCGAAGCGGCGTCTTTGCTTTCAGTCACGCTTGAAGGAATGGAATCTGTTCCGACATGCATCTGTGTCGACAATGCTGCTCGAGGGGTGACAGTCTTAATCTCGCGCTCACCCAGTTCGACAGCCCCATGGGTATTTCGTTAGATACCGGCTTCTCGTTTGCATTATCTGCTGTTCTCTTCAAGGGCCTGCAGACCTCGATCGTGAAGGAGGCGGCGGAGAGTGTGCTGCTGAATGTGATGATGTGGCGATATCTTCTTAAAGGCGAGGTTAATGGCTTTAGGGATGCCTTGTCGGCAGGGGAGCTTGGCTACTTCCTTGCCCTGCTGCCTGTGTCGGCCACACACATGTCCTATTGGAGGCTGGTTAAGGAATTCAACATCGGCGAGTTCCTACCCAAACCTATGGGTTATCAGGCATTATAGATTATCTGGGCTATGGGTTATGTAGACTGTAAATTGATTAGGTCAATATGCCAGAATGTTTGGACTTGAGTATGGAGAGATGAATTTAAATAGTGGTATATATGAAATCCTAATCAGAATCCCAATCAATGATAGTCCTAGAATCTGATCACAATATTCCAGGCTGGAACATGTGATATATTCCAGGCCGGAATATTGAATGAAAACATGTGGCAGATTGAGAATATTCCACGGATCTGCCCAACATTTTCCGGGCTGTCATATACATGGCAGATGGTGAGAAAATTGAGAATATTCCACGGATATTCCTGTCATATTCCAGCCTAGAAAATAGAATGAATACAGCCTGTAATATTCATAATATTCTCAACATATTCCAGGGCGGAATATGCTCCATTGCCCGCAGTGACATCAAGGGCGGCCATGCTCGCTTCCCAGACCTCCTCAAGCCCTCGTGGTCATCGACACGACTGGCGTTTTCACACTCGATGTCAGGTAAGGCACTTTATCGCTGCGAGACCACCCTAACTAACGATGGGTGTTAGATTGTGTGGTTGCTCAAACTCGTTGCAATATGATTCGGTCGCGCAACTTATGGCCAATCGATGGTATCCCGCGACGGTTAACGAACTGGGGACATGTGCTACCTTTCGCGCGCTGAAGCTATTTCGACAACTCAATGTCGTAGGCAACGTCAGCGCTCACGACTTCGTCGGGACCCTTGAGCGGTTGACAGATCCTACGAAACTGGGTAAAACTCCAGTAGGTCCAAGTCTCTTTGACCGCAAAATGTCCTGATGTAAGGCCACAGGATCGATATCGATCTTTCAGTCGAATGGCAAGGCAGTATGCCTTCCTATTACGTCTCAAGCGTGCGGGTGTTGGCCACGAAAACAAGTCATGGAACCCTTATGCCGGCGGGGCAACTGAAGCCCTAGAGCCTGGGCGTATCGCCGTGCGCTGCTGGGCTTGCCCCCGCCCTGGCGTGAATCTTCCTGAAGGATGGGAGAATTGTGACCCGAAGGATGAGTATGTGGACCAACTCAACTCACCAAAATATCTTGTTAATAACTCAGTCAGGTTTCTCTACAGCCTAATGCTGGCGCTAGACGCCAACTTTCGCTTGAAAAACCGCATCCGAGCGAACGAAAGACAGGATGATTCGCTTGGATCCGGTTGGGGCTATTTTGTGGACGATGAACCTTACCGAGAGCATCTGCGCGACTACGTCGCTGAAGAAGACGTGAGTTTTCTTTTTTACGATATGACTGGTCTGATGACTGCATATAGGTTAGTACCTGTATCGCCTTTGCTGCCTTGATGCAGAAGGAAACTCGAATGACGACGGGTCTTCGCGTTTCAGGAGTTGGTGGATGTGTATGCGCCAGACATGGTGTCATTCGTGCTGGGGGACTTGGTGATCTACAGAAGGGTGAACGGTACGTTGTATTATGTGCCGTTTCTATCGTTCGCGACTAATTTCAGACGGCAGTTACGCAAATATGGACTACATCTTTATGCATGCTCTGAATGATGCCCGGGTCAAGCGTTTGGTGGTGTCGTATGACATTGTCTGCCAATGGAAATTGTACCTGCGCCAGAGAGTCGTGAACATCTTGGCACAATCAAATATCCCCCCGAATCTCGACTCTTTCAATATCGACTTCGCACTTCCAGTTTGGCATGCAGCGGCGCACGAAGAAAGCTGTCAGAACTCAAACTCTCTCAGTTACACGGTTGGCGTTGGACGCACCGATGGCGAGAGTATCGAGCGGACTTGGTCCATTTTGAACCCAGCCAGTTTTGCAACGAAGGAAATGGGTCAAGGCAATCGACACGACACCATCGAGGACCGGGTCGACCACATCAACTTCGAGAAGAACGTTGGTCAGGGTGAGTCATTCGAGGCTTTGAGGTTCTGCTTGTTAACAAAATGTAGCTCGCAATTTGGCCCGAAAGCTTATCATCTCTGTTGCGGAGCGCGACCAACAAATTGCACAGTTTGTCGAGGTCGATAACAGCCTGGAGCCACGAGTTCGACGGGAGTGGATGCAGAAAGTGAAGGACTGGTTGGCCGACAAGAGTAAGCCAAACCCATACATCGTGGCCGGAGGCAAGGATGGTACGATATTAGATCTGAATACTTCTCAAATGCTGATTATATGATCCGTAGCTGGACCATCGGAAGCGCAGGTTGCGGCGGAACTCAAGCGTGCGGAGCTCAAGGAAGCGCGAGAGGGGAGAGGCGATTTCCTCGAAGGTACAACCACTGCGACTGCCTTTGTCAAGGCCCTACTGCACTTGGAGGACCTCAAGTACGTGTTCCTGCTTGTGTCGTGTTGGATGTTCGATGTGAATTCCTCACAGGCGTCGCATCAAGACGGAGGTCCGTGGTAGCTCGAGTCCTTCTGCCGAGCGTGAGGTCCAAATTGAAGAACTTCGAGTTTCTTTCTTCAAGAAGCTCAAGACGCTTCGCAACCAGCAAGAAGTCTTTATGCCTGGGGTCTCAGCGCTGCGACAAGCGGAAGAGGAATGTCGAGATGCGGATCGTCCACCCATCAAGGCGGAGGACGTAAAACTGTGGCTTCCGTCGGATTTGACTGAGAGTCAACGAGGGAGGGCCAGCCGGGCAGCGCTATCGACGTTGGAGGCCAAGCTGCGAGAAGCGCAATGTGGTGACGCGTTATCGCATATTCGCAACCTTCTCTACACCAAGACCCATATCATTCACCATCGCAATTCCCACCTCCGTCGGTCAGCGCGCTACAACTCGATCGAGCACACTCATATCGCGTGTCACGGACCAAATAATGCGGGAGGCTACTAAATATCGACAAGCAAGAGCTGCTCTGACACGGCTAATGGGGGCTCAGTATCGCGCAGACCTGGCAGAGCTCGCTGACAGCGATCTGAATACAAGGGGCGAGAAGGATAGTGATTCGGCATCTAGGCTGCAATTGGGACGAGTGGGTGAAAGCTGGCGCGCCAGGAATGAGCCTTCTGCTTCCGCAAGTGGGGCTGTCTCGTGGATATGGAAGACGGTTGTGGGGGAGGGTGAGGAAACGAGGCTTCATGAAGGTAAGGATTTCATTTCATGTCCAATGATGTTCAGACAATGGGTTGATTGCTTTTAGCTGTACGGGTCAGATGGACGAAAACGTTAGCGCGACGCGATCGCTGGATTGAAGAGGTGCGATTGCTGCGGGAGGAAATGAAACGAGTGCTTCGGAGCTTGCGGGCAGTCCAGCAGACATGGCAGGAGCGCGTCGAATGTGGTCGTGCAGTGGTACCTGAGGTAGCTACGGGCTTGAAAGCATACGCGAGGAAACAGGTGGCCCTGCATCAATGGATAGCGGAGTGCTTTGTGGCGGAGTGGACGAAACCGGGAAAAGCAGCGGTCGAGACTGTCCTGCGGCTTGATTTGGGGACCTACGAGCAGTTGCTCGTGAGGGACAGTGAAGAATTGGGACTGCGAAGCGTAGAGGAGAGCATTAGCGTAGATACTAGAACCATAGCTGAATAAGCAGATTATCTTTGACAACGCCAAGAGGGAATAGCTGGTGTGGTGTAGGGGCTGAATAAGCGGCCTCAGCTGCCAGGCTGCCGGGTGATCTAGTTGATGGATCACTCTATTTGATGCACAATCAAAAGGATACCATGCCGCAAGGTGTTATCAGCGGCCAACACAGTGTTCCTGGGGGGCAAAGGGCAGCAGCGACTAGGAGTTGCTAGCCTAGGAGTATCTAGCATTGTAGCCTACGGCTATTCTAGAAACTGCTGGGACACTAGCCTAAAGGTTACACCTACGGGTGCGACGATAGAGAAGTAAAGAGTTAAGTTGCTGCTACGTGACTTGGTCACGTCTACCGTTACATAGCATGTGACTACTGATCATGTGTCTACTTCGTTATCTGATATATCCATGGCGCAATTCTGAGTCGTATCGAGTAGTAGTGAGCGATAGCCCGTCACAGGAAGTGTGCTCACTTCTCGGAGTGCCACACCACGGTCGACACAGTAGGAGCCGCCCGCCTCTACTACCGGAATGTCTGGTGGCACCACGGGACTCCGGAAAAGTACGTCTCCGACCGCGGCTCACAGTTCATCGCAGACTTTACCTGAGAACTTTGGCGTCTAATCGGCATCAAACCTGCCACGTCTACCGCGTATCACCCACAGATGGATGGCCAGATGGAGCGCGTCAACCAGGAGTTAGAGCAGTACCTGCGGATCTTCACCAACTATCAGCAGGACGACTGGGACGAGCTGATTCCGGCCGCGGAGTTCGCCTACAACAATCACGTTCACTCCTCCATGCAACAAGTCCCCTTCATGACGGACACGGGACGACTCCCGCGCATGGGCTTCGAACCCGGAGTCCATTCCGCTATGGAGTCCGTGAATGAGTTCCGCGACCGGATTGCCACTGGTGTTGCCGAAGCCAAGGCCGCGCTCACTAAGGCCAAAGAGGAGTACAAGCACTACTACGACCGGAAACGCACTCCGTCTCCGGAGTTTAAGGTTGGCGACCGTGTTTAGCTGGATGCCTCTGACATTAGGAAGACCCGCCCCTCGGAGAACTTCTCCCACCGCCGCCTCGGACCATTCAAGATAGTTGCGGAGATCAGCAAAGGCGCCTACAAGCTCGACCTCCCTCCGTGCTACTCAAAGCTCCACCCGGTCTTCCCCCGTCGTCAAGCTTGAGCTCGCTCAATATGACCCCTTCGACGGATGCCCCCGGCTACGACCAGCCCCCTCCGGACCTCAAGGACGGAGTCCCGGAGTGGGAAGTAGAGGAAATCTTGGACGCAAGGGTGAGGTATAAACGGCTGAATTACTTCGTCAGATGGAAAGGCTACGATGTGTCGCCTGACCAGTGGGTCCGCTTCGACCGCGTCTTCGCCCTGGAGAAAATTGCGGAGTTCTATCATAAGTACCCTGGCAAGCCATGGTACATCACCTCTGCAACCTTCGACTCGATTCCATTCCGGTCTATGCGTCGGGACGCCGCATTAAAAGGGGGGGTGATGTCAGGGGAACCTCCCTTTCGGCCCCTCGGAGACGATTCCAATTCCGGTTCCGACTCCGGTCTGGTCCTCCATCTCGCGCGCACAATCACCGATCTGTCAACGCCCTCCCAACGGTCGCCCTGGGACCTTGCCTGCGACGCCGCCCAGGCCTTCTGTGCCGCTCAGTGGCAGCTACGGACAAGCAGTATATAGTCAGCTCCCTAGCAGGCGGACTCTTAGAGTTTCTTCTCTTTGGATCCTATCCTGCTAGGTCAGCTTCATTTGTATTTGCTTACCAATGTTCACGCTTTGGATCCTCCCCTGCTAGGACCTTGATCTCAGGCCTCCGGGGTTGCCCTTACAACTCTTTGAAATTCATTGACTCTTTGCTGAGATGAGAACCTAGTAGTCTGTGCGTTTTGTTTGCCCTTTCCTGTCCACAAATAAGTTTAGGTAATAATAAAATATCAAGCACCTACCTGATATTGTTGATAATAGAGGAGAAGAGATACTGTTATTCTCCTCATCTTCACTACTTGACTCATCATCCTCATCTATTATCCCCATGTCTGACTGCATAGATATGGCTAATTTTTTTATCAGTATTTACCATCTGATAAAAGCTTAAACAAATGAAGATAATAGCCTGATAATTGTGTTGAGGTCATTTCTATGCAAATTTAAATAAGCTATAGCTCCATAAAAAGATTAATAACCTTCAGACCATCTAAAGATTCATCAGAGAAACTTACAAAACCTAAGCAGTAGAAAAAAAACCTTATACTAGAACCTGTTATGTTATTAGTAAGTATATATTTGCAGACATACTCAGTTCTTGTTCATATCCAATAAAGTCAGAACTACTAGATTCATGCATATTGACACAATTCAAGAAAAGAAGATAACTATCAGTTTGATGATGATCAATAGATCAGATTTTCCATCCAACTTCCTCTCATTCTAGCAGTCACTTTTCTACATTACTGTAGGAATCTCCTGGCGTCTGCGCATATGATACAAGTATACCTGCATAAATCTAATTATAAATATGTCAAGTAGCTCAATATCAAAAATCATATAAACTAACCTTTTGGCTGCTAGCCGTGCATGAATTGTCTTTGTTGTTGCAAGATAGGGTATAACCTTTCCCAATCCAATGACAAATATCTCTCCTCGCTAAGAAATCCCACTGAAATGTTTGATTCCACCATTGATTGGAGAAGTAGCAGAATAGTAGCCAGAGACTAGAAAGCGCTCTCCATAGATTTCTAAAACAGCATCTGCAATCTGAGCAGAGGTTGTCTGAAATATTGTCTCTATGACAGGGACAGGGAGTTGCTTAATCCGGATAGGCATATAGGCAAGCTCAACATTTCCAGCTAACATAGATGCTGTTGAACCCTGACGAACAGGCTTTTCAGTTCTTGCTTGAACTACTTTTCCATAATTGTTTGTAAGAAGCCAGGCTTTAACCCGGATATGGCCTATCTATAAAATGTCTAGTTAGCTAAATTTTTCAATACATATACAAGCTTATATATAGCTACCTGGATAGGAGCTGCTGGTCTGTTGCGTAAAATGGCCATAGTTATACTGTCTTGGGTGAAAGAAAGCAACCTGTATTGAAAGAACAACATGAGGCTGATAAAAAAACATAAGGCTGATTGGACATTTAAGCAACAATATCTGACTTCTACACACGAATGAAACTCTTAAGACCTATGCAGCAACAGCTAACAAAATAGATAAGCTGTTTTGAAACAGTTGTTGTAAACTGGTATTCAGCTCCAACTTGTTTTGACTATTGTCCTTAAGGACTATAAAGTCAAAAACTTCCAAGCTCTTTGCTAGGAGATTCTTGTTACGGTCCACAAAGAAGGATGCAATAGCAGTAGTAGGAAGTTGCTCTTGTGTAATTGTAATAGTCAGTATTGAAAGATTAGGACAGCTACCAGTAGCCAAAAACTCAAGTAATAACCAGTCTTTCTCCCAAAAGATGTCATGCACTTCAAGATTTGTTAGTTGCTGCATTGTTTTATTATCCAGGAGGTCTATAGCATACTGCTGTGCTCCAACCTGCTGAATGCATAGATAAGTTAAACAGCAAGCTGAACGATCACATAGAGATATAATCTGCTTGTAGGTTGCTTGATCTACAAGATCTATGTCCAGATAATCCAAGGCTGGTAAAATCAAGCTTTTCATTGCACCAGAGTCATGATTAAGCATTTTTTGATGCACAATGAGTGTTGTTAAATTGCTTAAGTATATTGTTTGAGCTTGTACATTGAATGTTGATTGGACAGCAATCTCAAGTTGCTGCAGCTGCGGAGTATGTTGTAGGATTGAAAATAAAGCATCTGCTTCATTTTCTTGAAAATTAAGTGATAGTAGCTGATTCCAAGGAACCTTGACCTGAGCTGCTGATAGATGCTTAAGTGTAAGAGTATCAAGCTTTAAGCAATTTTGAAATGCAGATATGACAAAAGAGGACTCTTGAGGATCAGCCTTCAAAGAAAGACTCTCTAAGATAGACAGTCTGTCAATAGACAACTCTGCAAGACCCTTGACCATAGCTAAGTCAATAGTGCATGAAAAACTTTTCCATGCCCTTGGGCTCTCAAAAAGCAGATTAAGAATTTCAATATGCTTCTCAGCATTTTGTATGTTGATTGATAGAGGAAATACACATGGCTTGGCTAGGCCACCTGTTAATCCCAATTATCTCTTCTAATTAGAATGGACAGCGCGCTTGGGTGCCCATTCTAATTAGAAGAGATGTCTCAAAACTCCCTATGCTGCAATAAAAGGGGCAATAAAACTGCAATATTTCTGAGACCCCAGGCTCTAAGTCATTTCTTGTGCTATCGCACAAGGTCAGTGTGACATTTGTGACATGGCTGATACTAAAGGCTAGTAACTCTATCAGCTATAGTTTCTACATATCCTACTAAGTTCATACACTCTGTTATATTGTGTAATATGAGGTCACAAGCGTGACATAGTTCCCAAAAAGGAAATTTCGCAGTTTAACAGCAGAATGATGAGGAATGTCACAGATTGTCACAAAATGAAAGTTGTGCATTCTGACTATACAAACAACTTTCATTAAGTGACCTGTAGTCACAGCTCAATAAATGTGTTGGCAATAGCTAATCATTTGCTGATGTATACCTGATATAGTGATATCTCACTCTATAGATAACTTACATGGATGATTTCAGTACTACAAAGGGTCCCTGTATGAGTGGAATAATATCCTTGACAATACAATGTTATTAATACATATATATCATCTAATGATTATTCATCACACACATTGATGCAGCAATATCTCCACCAATTCTACATCAAATTAGATGATTGTCATACTGGTAGGTAGATAATGACCTAATGTAAACATGTTCTGATGCGAGTCTAGGCTTATAGACTTAGGTTATACTGGTATCCCCCTTTTCTGTAGTTTTTTTTTAAAAAAATTTGATTGAGCACCATGATCACTTGATATCTTGCT